AAAAAAAAAAAAAAAAAAAAACCTGGCCTAAGAACTGCCCTGGTCCTGAATGAGCAAAGCCTGGTCTGGCTGCCGAGGATGGACGGGCAGCCCTGTGTATTGCTCAACCCCAAAACCCTGTGTGGAGCAAGATGTTGGGGGGAGGGGGATGGTGGGGCTCCTCCTGTGCCAGGAGCTCTGCCCCCTCTGTCCACATGGCCCTGCCCCTTCCTGAGCACCTGAGTGCAGTTGTCTTCCATATGATGAACATAGGGGCCCCATTGGTGTTGGAGAGGTGACCCCAATAGGACAGAAAGCTCCTACATATCCTGCTGGGAGCCTCTGTCGGAGATAGCACCCCTTATCTTACAGGGCTCTAGGGAACCATGATCGTCATGTAGAAACTTAAGGCTTTCAATGCTTATTAATGGGGCAACACAGACACTAAGTGACGAGCAGCCCCTAATGCAGGGGCACTTGAGCATGGTGCCGCCTCAGATGGTGGAGCTAGAGAGAGGGAAATGCTGGTTTCAGAAGTGGGTGCTGTGCAGCCATCTTCCTGCTGCTGTTGCCAACTCTGCCCTGTGCCCAGCTTCCTGCCTTGCCCTGAGTGTCAGGGGTCCCCAGGGTCCCCACCACCTCCCACCTCCACCTGGGAGACACTTGCACACACTGAGGGCTGTTTGTTCTTTGTTTGCAGAGGTATTGTGGCCAGTATTTTGGTTTTCTTATGTTTTGGAGTCACACAAGCCAAAGATGGGCCATTTTCCAGACCTCATCCAGGTAACTTGCCATTTCTCTCTCCATGTGTGCCCTGTGGCATTCTGTCCTGAGTGCCTGGGTGTGAGTGTCCCATTGTCCCTCTTAGCTCCTCTTGAGCACAGCAGGTTCCTTCAGAATCCAACCTGCTCCCTGCTGTCCTATGGCTCTCCTGCCCACTTCCTACAGCCCAGGGTGCTGGGGGAGTGCTGCTCCCCCCCAGCCTCTAGCCTCCACCCCAAGCTCTGACATCCCAGGATCAAAGGGAACCCTGAGGAGCTGAGGGCTGAAGGGGCATAGGTCCCTCTCTGCGTTGCGCTGGCCCCAGGATCCAGCTGTCTGGATGGCCAGCTCAGCCATTATGGCATTGGTTGGATTCCCTCCAGGATCACTGCAGAAGTATTAGAAACACTTTTGCTTTCTGTCTTAATAGAGATTTGAATGGTGGAAAACACACAAAAAACTAAATTTTGACATGCATAGCTTCAAAGACTGGAATCATACTGTATGTAGCTTTTTGTTTTGGGGGGGGTTTGTTTTGGTTTTTGTTTTTGAGACAGGGTCTCACTATGTAGTTGAGACTGACCTAGAACTCACTGTGTAGCCCAGGCTGATCTCGAACTCACAGTGATCCTCCTGCCTCAGCCTCCCGAGTGCTGGGATTACAGGCATGCGCCACCACGCCCAGCTGTATGTAGCTTTTTATTTTTTATTTTTGTTTTTCGAGACGGGGGTCTTACTACATTGCCGAGGCTGCCTCAAACTCCTGGGCACAAGTGATCTTCTGCCTCAGCCTGGAGAGTAGCTGGGACCCAGGGCATGTTCCACCACAGCAGCTGGTTTTTAGTTAGTGGGATAAATTAGGCTGCGAATGTTTGCATGCAGTCTCTGTGTGGTTAACTGATTATTTATCTAAGAAAACATTCCAGGAGAAGCACAGAGTTAAAGGCTGAGCCTACCAGCCCTGTAGGATGGGTACATCTGCCCAGGGTCACCGGTGCCTTTGCCTAGCAAGCTGCTCTCACCAGCCATCCTTGCCTGGCACTGTGGGCATAGTGGGAGCTGCTGTACTGGGTCTGGAGCAACCAAGCAGAGTCTGCTCAGTCAAGCTTGCGGACCAGAACCAGGGACAAGTGAAGTGACTGAGTCATACAGGGCCCACGTGCCAGTCCCTGCAGGCTGGCTCGATGAGCAGCCAAAGCGTGGCCAGTGTCCGCCCTCTGCCTTGAATCCTGTCAGGCCCTGATATAAACGCATTCCATGAGTAGGGACCTTAGCTTCTCAGGTGCATGGTGATGTGGTCCTTCTGTCTGACAGACATGGACACTTCTGGAAGCTTTCAGCTGCATAAGTGTTGTTCTGGCTTCCTGTGTTAGCTGTCTGTCTCCTCCCTCGTGATGGGAGAGTGTGTTTATTTCTGACCTTTTCTTCTGAGTGCTGCTCAGCATCTCTTTGGTAGGCATAGTTGGCTTTATAAACTCCATGTTCTTTGGCAGTCTCTGCCTTATGCTTATGGAAGCTTGTCCTGGAGCCACCTTGTCACAACTTTTAACACAGCCTTGGAACCATCAGACCTGTCTTTCTGTCAGACACGTGGAGGGGATGAGAGAGAGGCCACACAGGTAGGAGCAGCGGGGATTCCCAGCTCCACAGAGTTCCCTACAGGTCTGTGCTGTCCACCCCTCAGCTTGGGGCATAGGAGTGGCCTGGCCAGGCTGCCATGCAGTGACCGTGAGCAACTGAGCCTCTGTGGAGACACAGAAAGGAAGTTCCAGCTGGGCTGTCTGGGGAGTTCTTTATTTGGAAACTTAATTGGCTGCAATTCATTGGAGAAGGCCTCCCTGCCTCCCTCCCTCCCTCCCGGGTAGTTTGTTTTTTGCTGTTGCAGTGCTGGGGATCAAGCCCAGGGACTCATGGTGCTAGGCAAGCGTTCAACCCCTAGCTACACCCCAGCCCCAGTCCCGGTTCTTACTTTCATCTGCAGCTCCCTCCAAAAGGGAGAGTAGTCAGCTGTCCTCAGTTATGCTGAGGCTGTCCCTGTTTTCCTCCCACTCAGTATTTTTGTTTTGTGGTGCTGAGAATTGAGCCCAGGACCTTTGCTGTGAGCTAGATCCCCAGCCCTTCCCTTTTTTAAATTTTGAGACAAGATCTCACAAAGTTGCCCAGGCTGGGCTCAAACTTGTGATCCTCCTGCCTCAGCCTCCCAGAGTGCTGGGATTACAGGCATGTGCCACTGCACTGCGTTCCGTCTTAGATTTGGTGTTTGAAGTGCTATACTTGGTGGGGGCTTGGAATCAGGGGCACCCAATTCCAGCAGTTCGTGAAGCGATGAGGGGCATATAGAAGGCAAATGTAGAGGTAGACCTAAAGGTTGGTGAGGAGTCGAACTAGAACCAGCTTCTGAGGCTGGACCCTCCATGGGAGGAGATAAAGGGAAGACTGGAAGTGCGTGTCAGAAGAGACGCAGTCAGCCTGAGGTCACCTCAGACCTGATAGCGTGAGGCACCTGCAAGGCTGTGTGGCCTCACAGCACTGGGCGCTCCCGGAGGGAGCCCCCATCAGGCTGTACCACAGCCCCTGAGCCAGCCGTGGTCTCCTCACCCTCCTGGTGTGGAGTTTGGAAGCCTTGGCTGTTCATCTTACGTTACGGAGCCATGTTCGCACATTCCCGGGAGCTTCCCCGCTCTCTGCCCTGCATGATTAGTCAGCTTCTGGGCAGCCCTTATGGCCACTAAGTGTCGAGTAGCGCTGCCTCCTGGTGCTGCCTGCACTCAGTGCTGTACACAACCTGAGGTTTAGGGTAGCTTCCTATGGAATGGTCATTGCATTAATGTATTTCAAGAACTCAGTTGTCTTAGAGGCAGAAAAATAAAAGTGCATACCTATTCATGATAAAAAGTGTATTGGATTGGAAAGCTTTCTGTTTTGTTTGTTTTTGTGGCCCCAGGGCCTTCATACTGAAGCATATTTTTGCATTTAATTTTGAGACAGGATTGTGCTAACTTGCCTAAGCTGGGCCATAACTTTCACTCCTGCTTCAGCCTCTGAAAGTGCTGGGATTATATGAAAAAATTTTCTTAGCATGACAACGGTACCCACCAAAAGCCTGCTCCAAACCTGATAGTACATGCCAGAAGCGGTGCTGGTAGATGCAGGATAGGGACATTTGCCATCGCTGCTTCTGCCTGACAGTTAATGGGCCTTCTGTGCCACAGTAGTAAGACAAGGGGCAGAAGAACTCAAAGATTTAAGGACTGGAAAAGAAGATAATAAAGAGAACACATTTTATGTTTGAGAGAGAGACAATGTACTCAACCTGAGCGTTACCTTGTTCTGTAGAGGCTTTGTCCAGGTGCATCAAGGCCAGGCAGATGCTTTGTCCAGGAGCCGTGGGGCCAGGCAGAGCCTGGAAACCAGGCTGCGACTCTGATGTTCCTTTTCTTGTCCTTGTAGCTTACTGGCGATTTTGGCTCTGCGTTAGTGTGGTTTATGAGCTGTTTCTCATCTTTATCCTCTTCCAGGTAAGTGGCTTTTCTTGGTCAGATAAACTGGGAATAGATGTCAAGAGGCTCTGTACACTTGGCCCCAGAGCACTCGCAGAAGCCAAGCTGGACCCAGCAGGGCCAGGGTGTGGGTGCAGGCGGGGCGGGCTGTTGTGCCCAGACAAGGGGAGGACAGTGGGACCAGTTCAGCAGTTCAGTGTGTGTGAGGGCCAGCTATCGCTGGTGTCTGGCTCACAGGAGCTTTCTCCCACCTAGTTCCTATTCTGCAGGAGGCTCAGTGGGGTTGAGAGCTTGCCTCCTTCCGATCATCTTGAGCCATGGTGTGCTGCCCTGACAGCTGCTTTGCTGAGCTCCACTCTGTTTCGCTGAAGAAACACATCTTGGTGGTCTCAAGCCACAGAGCACTCTCCTGTGAGACCTCAAAACCTGCTGGTGTGTGGCTGAGTTGTTTATGGTGACGAATGAACTGCTGGGGTAGGCATACAGTGCTGTGAGTCTGTGTCCGTGTCAGACTTCGGAAACCCTCTGTGGTAGGACACAGGACAGTTGCATCTCACCCCAAAATTTCTCAAGGCCCCCTTGATATTCCCTGTCCTGGGGATGTCCCATCCTGCCTGCCACTGCTGTCCGTCACAGGAATTTGTCTCTGTATGCGTGGCACCACACAGTGGGCATCCCAGGTGCAGCGTCATTTCACACAGAAAGGCATCTGCTTGCTCCCCACACGGGGACGTTCCCATCCAGGCTCTACGTGGGTATGTCTGCCTTTCTCTAGAAATGTGAGCTTGCTGATCCTACTCGAGTGTGCATTTAACATCTACACTACTGTGCGTCTTCACCCCACTAGGGCCGACTTGGAGCTCCCACTGCTTTCTGTCCTGGCTCTGTGCTTTTGTGTGGGTCCAGGGGTTAACTGCTGGGTCCTGTGGGCACTGAGGAGTAGGAGCCCTGCTGCTGTGTGCAGGTTGTGTGTCACTGTGGTTTGATTTGCCTGGCCTATGACTGAAGTCCAAACTTAATTCACATTTCCTTAGTGTTTACTTAACGCCTATTTTCTGCCCCAGGAATCCCTTCAGGTCACCAAGTGACACCTGTCACGCCTTCTCAGGCTCTCGAAGTTGTGTACTTTCTCTAATGACCAGGAAGCTCTGAGGAAGTCTGTCCCAGTATCTGGTACAAGGCCACACAGTGGAATTGGGACATATGAGTCATCAATTTTTCTTCTCAAGATTGTCTTGACTCATCTGGTCTCTTGCATGTCCAGATCAATGTTAGGACCTTCCTGGCTTTTTTTCCTTTTTCATTATTGCAGGGAATCCAGAGCGAGGCAAGTACTGAGCCTAGCCCTAGCCCTAAAGGATGTGGTGTTGGTGGGGATGGATCAGTTTTAGGTATTGTCATCCTAACACCATTAAGTCTTTAATGCTAAAACATGGGATGTTCTTTTGTTGGTTTAGATCGTCTTTCATTTCTTTCATCCATGTTTGGTAGTTTTGAGTATGTTTCACAGTGTGTTAAAAAAAAATTTTTTTTTTTTTTCCAGTACCAGAGATCAAACTCTGATCCTTGTGCTTGCAAGGCAGGCAGCAGAGCCACTGAGCTAAATCCCCAGCCCCACACTGTGTTAAATTTATTTCCCAACATTTTATTTATTTCTGTGGTGTTGTAAGAGGAATTGTTTTCTCAATTTCATGTTTGGGTTGCTCATTACTAGTGCACAGAAATACAACCTACTTTTTTTTTTTTTTTTTGGTTTTTTGAGACAGAGTCTCACTATGTAGTTGAGACTGACCTGGAACTCACTGTGTAGACCAGGGTAGTCTCGAACTCACAGCAATCCTCCTGCCTCAGCCTCCCGAGTGCTGGGATTACAGGCGTGCACCACCATGCCTGGCCAACCTTCTTTTATATTGAGTTGTATCCTGAGACATTGTTCATTGTCCCAGCAGTTTCAGGATTTTCTGTGTCCTTTTCTCTCTTGTGCCTGGCTGGGCATAGTGGGGTATGAGTGGACCTCCTCACCTCATTCCTGATCTTAGGAACACCCACTATCATTCCCTGTTGTGTGTGCTCTGGCTTCTGGATGCCCCTCGTCAAGTGGAGGGAATTCAGTTATATTCCTAGTTTGCTGAGTGTTTTCTCCTGAAAGCCTGTTAGGTTTTGTCAAATGCATTTTATACATGGAGTAAGATGATTATGTGAGTTTTTTACTTTTCTTGATGTGAGATGTAACATTGATTGACTTTGTTGTTTCAAACCAACTGTGCATTGCTGGGATAACTCCCTCTTAGTTGTGCTGTGCAAACCTGTTAACATACTCAGGATTTCATTCCTAATATTTTGCCTAGGATTTTTGCATCCGTATTCACAAGAGATGCTGGTCTACAATTTCCCAGAATTTTTTTTCCTAGGCTTCGCATCAGGGTTAATTGGGATTTTTCTGATGTGCAGAGGACCGTAACATTGATTGTGCCCAAGGCAGGCTCTAAAGAGTGAACCCCACAATTAGCTTGTTTATTGAAGCGAGTCTGGCAGAAGCCTATGTGCCAAAGTCAGAGTAACTCACACCCAAATTCCATTCCCACAACTAAAACCTTCTGAGTAGAAGGACAGTGTTCTAATTACAACCATATATTTTGTTTATTCTGTTCCTAATTTGAGAATGCTTTGTCTTGTCTTTTGTCTTGTTTACATTAATTTCCATAGAAACTGCACATAGCTCACCTTTACCCCAATTGATTGCCAATAAAAGTCAGAGCCTAGAACTGGCAAGGGCCTTTTGTCAGTTGCACGAGCATCGGTTGTCCTAGTACCCTGCTTTCTCTCTTCTACTTCTGTCTTTTAGTTTTATTTCTCAGGCCTGCCTCATATACTGCAGGATACTGGTACCTAACTACGGTGGGTCTCTGGTAACTGGCACCCAATGTGGGGCCAGTTTTCTCAGGATTTGACATCGTTAAGGCACACACAGTCAAGTGAAGCTGACCTTGAGCGTGGATGAGGCAGTGCCTGTCCGGGTTCTCCACTGAGCTCTTTGCATGCTATGCTGTGGTAGGAAGTCACTGCTGCTGCCCTTAGGGAAGGAGGAGGCTATTTTGTATATGACTGGGTATTATATACAATTCCTCTGAAGGGAGATTTATCCCTTGTCCACCATTTACCATTCAGCCATTTGTTTATATCAGCAGGCATTCAGGATTTGTATTTTTACACCCAGGTTATATCCAATACTGTATTTATTGTGTTGTGTAGGTTCTTTAGGCCATTGATAAGTCTCTCATGTGGTTCCTGTGTTGCTTGGCACACCCTCATTTTTAGGAGGCCTTGGGCTTTGTTTTTGACAGCCCTTCCTACCTGTGGTATTGCAGGCTGCTTAGGGCATGTGTACCCACTGTCCCAGCCCAAGAGTCAGCCATTTCCTTGAGGCCAAGGGTTCCTTCGTGGAGAATAGTCTCAGGCCAAGATCTGGGTGCTGCCATGCATCCAGACATGTCTGCTGGCCATGTCTGCTGTATGTGACAGCACTGAAGTGGTGGGCACTGTGGCCCTGCAGCTCCCTCCCTGCTGCCCCTGCTCTGCAAAGGGTCCAGGGATCTGGGGCCTCTGACCTTTGCCAACAGTAGAGGACTCACAGTCTTTTTTTTTAACCTAAGAAATTTTGTGTATACAGATATTAAGAAAAATTTTCAATGAAAATACAATAATATTTGAATAAAAGTAAGTATATCAGTTGGACTCACAGTCTTAAGGCCCATACAGCCAAGCAGGAGCCAAATTGCAGCTGCACCTGAACCCTTGGGTCTCAGGAGGCACTTGGGTTCCTGGATCAGGAGACCCTAGAATGGCACTAGAGATAGGTGGCCTTGGTCTTGGGGGCTGCACTGCAGGACAGGGAATCTGTGCCCAACACCTGTGTCTTTGGTCCCAACAGGATTCCATGCCTCTAGTGTCCCTGCCACAGACTGTCTGTGGTATCCTGTCACCTGTCCCTGGTGCAGCCGTGTCCTGTGCTAAGCACTTGTTTGTTCTCACTTCTCCCACCCCTTCCTGGACCTTGTTTTGTCATTTGGCCTCCCAAGGTCCTCAGCTGGTGGCCTGCTGAGGGGCACCTCCTCTGCTGAGGTTCTGTCTCAAAAGTTTCCTTTGCACTTAGGCTGGATGGAGCTGCCAGCCAAAGCTGATGTCTGCCTGACCGTGAAGACTGTATGTCCTCACATCGCAGGAAGACAGTGGCACACCTCCAGGGTAGCCTCTGTGGGTGTCAGGCTGGGATGTGGGGGGTAGTGGCATGAAGCTGCCCTTGTTGAACTAGGGATCTAAGTCCTATGTCCCCTGCCTGATCTGCTCGGCCAGCTCCTAGGGCTCATGCCCCCAGGTCTCTAGCTTGAGTAGGGGTGGGAGCCCTTGTGCTATGGCAGGGTGACTGAGACAGAGCCACTCACATCAAGGCCCCCATCTGACACACATGGCCTTGCAGACAGTACGTGACGGCCGGCAGTTTCTAAAGTATGTGGATGCCAGGCTGGGGATCCCGTTGCCCGAGAGGGACTATGGAGGAAACTGCCTCATCTATGACCCAGACAACAAGACCGACCCCTTCCACAACATCTGGGTAAGAGTGCCACAGGAGCTGTCATTCGTGTGTGTGGGCTCATCCGAGGGGTTTCCTGCTCTTTGTCAAGGTGGGTCATCCCAAAGGCACCCTGCACGCAAGCAAGACCCTGACATGGTGAGGAGGGACACCATGGGGAAGTTCGGTACCTGAGTACCATTCCTGTCGCCCACAGGACAAGCTGGACGGCTTTGTTCCTGCACACTTTATTGGCTGGTACCTAAAGGTATGGCATCCTCTGCCTCAGCCCTGAGTTTCAGGCCACCCTGTGCTCTGGTCATCCCTGGCAATGGGGTGAGCCTGGCAGTGTGGCCTGTGCCCATGGGTATGTGTACAGCCACCCAGGAGGGGCCTCCAGGGATATAGCAGGCCTTGAGCAGCAGCCTAGCCCCCGATGGAGTCTGCTCACCATTCCTGGCATTGTGGTGGCTGGACAAGAAAAGGGAGAGGAACAGCAAGCAGGAAGCCACACACACCTTGCCCCACCCACCCCAGGATCCAGTATTACTTCTGCACACCATCTCACAGCCTGGGTGGGGTTGCCCAGTGTGGACACCTCCACACTGGCTGAAGAGCCAAATATTGGGGCTACTCGAGGGCCAGCTGTCCTTGGCCATACTCACTCAGGCCTGCTAGGCAGGGCTGCATCCACTCCACTGCGGACGGTGCTAACAGTGCTGCGGTGCCCTGCAGACCCTCATGATCCGGGACTGGTGGATGTGCATGATCATCAGTGTGATGTTCGAGTTCCTGGAGTATAGCCTGGAACACCAGCTGCCAAACTTCAGCGAGTGCTGGTGGGACCACGTAGGTGCTGAGGTGCCAGGGTGGTGGGCAGGGCCTTCACACGTGTCCTGGGGCTGGGCCTCACTTGTCTCCTGGCTCCTGCCCAGTGGGTCATGGACGTGCTGGTCTGCAACGGGCTCGGTATCTACTGCGGCATGAAGACTCTGGAATGGCTGTCCCTGAAGACGTACAAGTGGCAGGGCCTCTGGAACATCCCCACCTACAAGTGCGTTCCAGGAGTCGGGGCTAGGGTTAGTGGCATGGGGCCAGAGCAGCTGCTTTTTCCTATTTGTTTTGGGATTGCAACAAAAGAAACCAAAGCTAGCTATAGTGGGATGCACCTATAGGACTCAGCTTCTTGGGAGACTGAGTTGTGAGAATCTCTCGAACCCTGGAGTTTGAAGCAATCTGGGCAACATAGCAAGGCCTTGTCTCATTAAAGAGGAAACGAGAGCCTGCAGAAGGTCTGGGGGGGAAGGGAAGAACATGGACAGCCCCACCCTTGCTGCGGGGCCCCATGGTATTCTGAACAGGGCAGGGTGTGGGATGGGGCGGTGCCTGAGCATCAAGCACTGTCCACCCAGTGCCATAGCCGTGACCTGGAATAAAGCTGGCACCAGCAGGTATGGGTGTCCGTGCTCATGCCTGGCTCTGTTCCCAGGGGCAAGATGAAGCGCATAGCCTTCCAGTTCACACCCTACAGCTGGGTCCGCTTCGAGTGGAAGCCAGCCTCCAGCCTGCGCCGCTGGCTGGCTGTGTGTGGCATCATCCTTGTGGTAAGGCTGGGGCACCTCATGGCTGTGCTTGTTGGGCACCCTGAGCCATGCTGACCCCTCCCATCCCCTAGTTCCTGCTGGCAGAGCTGAACACCTTCTACCTGAAATTTGTTCTGTGGATGCCCCCTGAGCACTACCTGGTCCTGCTGCGGCTGGTCTTCTTTGTGAATGTAGGCGGTGTGGCCATGCGAGAGATCTATGACTTCATGGATGATTTGTGAGTGCAGCTGCCAGGCTGAGGATCCTGGGGACTGGGATGGGACGAGAGGCACCTTAGGGTGGAGCTTGGGGGAGCTCACGGCTGCTGCCTTTTCCCCAGGAAGCCCCACAAGAAGCTAGGCCAGCAGGCCTGGCTTGTAGCAGCCATCACGGTCACCGAGCTGCTCATCGTGGTGAAGTATGACCCACACACACTCACCCTGTCCCTGCCCTTCTACATCTCCCAGTGCTGGACACTCGGCTCCATCCTGGTGCTCACCTGGACCATCTGGCGCTTCTTCCTGCGGTGAGTGGGCCCAGGACCATCAGCCATTCCCCCTTGCCTGGACTGTCCCCAACCCATGCCCCAGCTGCTGCCTCTGTGCAGGGCAGCCTGCATGGCCCCTCACCATGTCTATGGCCCACTTGGCACCTTGCACCTCTCCCCACCCTCCATGTCCCACAGGGGCTCCTCTGTGTCCCACAAGGGCTCCTCAGGGTGATGGCATGAGGTGTCCACCAGCCCTGCACAAGAGCTGCAGTGCACAGGTGGTGAGGTGGCCTTCACTCTCCAGGGACATCACCTTGCGGTACAAGGAGACACGGAGGCAGAAGCAGCAAAGTGACCAGGGCAGGGCAGTCAGCAACAGGGATGAGCACCCAGGTCTAGACGACGATCTGCTGGGGCCTGGGGCCCCTGAGAAGGAGGATGTCACCGAGGAGGGTCCTTCAGCTGCCTCATGAGCCCCAGCCCTCCCACAGGCCTTGCCTCTTGGGCTCTTGCCCTCCTCCCATGCTCTGTGACCTGTCCATCCAAGTGCACAAATGTGCACCAGTGAGCATGTGCACATGTGTGTAGTGTATCCCTGGCGCCGCTCCAGGGCCAACAGCTGGCCGTGGTGGCCAGGGCTTGCTCTGGAACAGGGTACTGTCTGTCCATCTGCCTGGCTGGCCAGGACCTTTATCCACAGAGAGCCCAGTGCCTAGCCTCAGCCGGCTGGGGAAAAACTGCTTGTGCCCCTTCTCCATGCAGCCTCGCAAGACCTGCTTTTGTGACCACAAGTGGCACAAGTGAAGGATAGTGTTCTACCAATGCTGTGGTGGCACTGGGCCTCTTCTTCCAGAGCCTCTGCTGACCAGACTGTCTTGGGTGGAGCATGGCAGGGCAGAGGTTGCCAGCCAGACACCTTCAGCACATCATGCAGAGACTCCAAGACACGGGCTGCAATCTGGGTGCCTGGGTTGTGTTGTTCCTTACTCCCTGAGTTTAGGGTGTCTCCTTGAGCAGACAGAACAAATAAAGTAATGATGAAGGTCCTCTCAGCCTTCAGCTCTCCTCCCTGCCCTTGAGACAAGGGACCTCGCTGTAGGAGGCAGCTGTGCAGGGTGAAGCCATTACACAGCCTCAGGCAAAGAGCAGCAGGCCCAGCTGCTGGCCCAGTGTGTGTCCTGGCTGTGTGGCCCAGTAGAGCCTTCCACAGCCCCCACTGTACCCATGTGTGTCTCTTGTGGGGGACAGGGCTGGTGACTTCTAGGAAGTGCTCAAGGGACAGAAACAGAGAGCAGTGGAGAGAGGAAGCCGTCTTCTCAGTTGGTGGTTTATTTTATTCCCAGCTGGTATTTTTAAAACTTTCAAGATTTTTCATTTTTATGGTTCTGGGGATTAAACCCAGGAAGTTTTCAGACACAGTGAGAAGAAAGTGCCATGATTCCAAGTCTCCCCCACCTGGGTGAGGATGAGGTCCGCACCATGGACACAGAGACCTGCTCAGGAAGGGACCAGACCCAGGGCTAGGTACCAGCTGCACCCATGCACCTGCAGGGCCCAGGCTTCAGAAGCTTCTGGTGTGTAGGTGCTGAGAGCTGAACCCAAGGCCTTGTTCAGGCTAGGTAAGCGTTTCACTCCTGAGCTGACCCCTGAGCCCCTTTCTGCTCAGTACCTATTTGAGGCCAGAGCATGCAGTGCACACGAGTCCTCCACCCTGGAGACGGACAGGATGAGCCTGCTCAAGTATCGCAGGCCCGGGGTTGCATTGTCCCCTGCTCAGCAGCACATTGGGCTCAGAGCTGTCACTGAAGCTCCGTGAGTGCCGTCACCATCCACTCTGGGGACCTGTGCCATTTGCTAGGCTCCTGTGACACTCTTCCCCACAGAGGCTGTACTTGACTCGGGGCTCCTAGGGTCACCCTGGTTCCTCTGAGCAGAGGGGTCACGCTTGGAAGCAGAGAGCCTGAGGCACTTTAAAGGGCTTTATCTCAGACTTGGAGTATCCCCCTCTCCACCATAGGGCCTGCTGTGGCCAGTGGCAGGACAAGGCCAGCGGGGCCAGCAGCTCAGAGGCCCAGGGCTCAGGAGTGGCCAAGCCCAGGAGCAGCTGCCCTCAGATACTACCTTGCAGGGGCTACAGCACATGCACAGAGATGTAGCTGGCAGCAAAGCCAAGGAGACCCCCCCCAAGCAAGGGCAGATTTGGGTCACAATTCTGAAGGCCATCATCCTAGTGTCCAACTCTCAAATGATTCAAATCCCCAAAATACAATTCCAGGAAGAAAAAAAATTTTTTTGGTTCCAGTACCAGGGATCAAACTTGGAACCTTATGTTTGTGAGGCAGGAGGCGAACCACTGAGCTAAATCCCCAGCCCCAGAAAATTTTATTTTTAAAAATTCTTTAAAGTCAGGCATGGTGGCACAACCTGTAATCCTAGCATTCAAGAGGCTAAGGCAGGAGGATTGCTGTGAATTCAAATGCAGCCTGAGTTACATAGTAAAACTGTCTCAAAAAACAAACTAAGGGCTGGGGATTTAGCTCAGTGGCAACATGCCTGCCTTGCAAGCATAAGGTCCTGAGTTCCATCCCCAGTACCAAAAAAAGAAAAAGAAATAAACTAAAAAAATTAAGCATACATTTTTTGCATGTATAAATACGTGTACTAACAGTTGCATGGATGTAACATTACAGAACAGACAAACGATAATCAAGATGCAGAATATAAACTGGGCATGGTTGCACAGCTGTATTCACAGCCACGCAGAGGCTGAAGCAGGAGGATTAAAAGTTTGAGCCTAACCTGGGCAGTTTAACAAGACTGTCTCAAAAATTTGGGGGTTATAGCTCAAGGTTAGAGCACTTGCCTAGCATATGTGAGGCCCTAGATTCCATCCCCAATTTTTTTAAATTGAGATACTAGTGCACAAAAAGTTGCCCAAAGAGCCAAGATCTTAGGAATTTTTGTCTTTCACAAATGCAGATGTATAGAAAGGACATCTGTCCATCTCTTCATGTACTAGGGAAACTTTTTTTTTTTTTTTTTTTTTTTTTTAGA